AATATAAGAGGTATGATAGGAAAATGGGTCAACATCACCTTGTTAGTTAAGTAGGTTAGGTTATGTTTTGTTTTTAAGTATGCCATATTTTATTACTACTAGCATAATTCAAAGGCCGCATGTCCGCATTAACAGTACCTACATAGATTTTTATCAAAACACGTACAGAACTTGGCAAATATTCCTTACCGAGCCAGTTAATATGGCAATTTAAATGCATACTGCGGCACCCCGTGTGAAATTTCAAGTGGCAGTACAGTAGGCATCGTATTTAATATTCTTTTTGCACTTTCTCGATTTGCAATTGTATTGCATCTTTTCACTGTTCAGGTCATGAGACAGATTTACATTAACATACGGTACGGTTCTAGATCCAGGTTTAACAACTTGGCAACTGGAACGATAGTGTGGTGGCATTTCTAATTTTAAGAATTTCGAGCTTATGAGTATACAGATGCAGTGACGATTTGCTCAAGGTGGCTGGCAAGAGCTGGATGCGAGTAGCCCAAGATCGATCTGAGTGGCGTGCAATGGAGAGGCCTATGTCCAGCAGTGGACTAAGATAGTTAGACTGTTGAAGGTACTTAGGCCCGTATTATAGAAAGATTCTCAGTAATTAATCTAGTCTTGAGCATAGATAGAAAGGGTTGTCGCTATATATAGCACATAGCGACATCCCTTTCTAACTGTACTCAAGTAAAGATCAACACTTAGTTGACATTCTGTAATACAGGCCTTAGACTGTTGATGATGATGAGTATGCAGACAAATCATACTCTAATTCTAATATTATAAATGCGAAAGTTTGTGTTTGTTACTCTAATCACAGAAAAACCACTGAACTGATTTGGTACGTATATACAGTTTCTGACCTGGAATGAGACCAGGCATTTTTTATCCACTAGTGGGAAATATTAAAAACAATTTAATAACTTTATATAGATTATACATAAAAAAAAATATTAGTATAATCTTCTGCGGGCTTGGCAACATCGGAGGTAAGACAAATACTATAAGATAGATAAATATTATTACCATATCAATTTCTTACGACTTCAACAGCCGGCATAAATAAGTAATATTAAATCTTCATATTTTCTAGACAGAAAAGTACAAAATTTTTAGACTAGATCATCACATTCATGGTTTGAACAAGGAAGATGTAACTTTAATACCAGATTCACGACCGTGAAAAAGCTTATTATACAACATGTTCGTGATATTAAACATCGAGGAATTTTCTTTGTTTAATAAAGGATTAAAATTATCTTTGCAAGTTAATTTCAGGCTCGATTAAGGAAGAAGAACTCCTTTGCTGTTTCATAACTAAAACTTAGTTAATAAATAATACATAGATAACCACATGATATGGCTACCTTTAAAAAATGGAAGTCAGTTGTGTATCATGCTTTGTCATCCTCATCAACGTCATCGGCCTCTTAATGTCCCCATTGCTGGGGCTCAGACCTTCCCTACATATGGGATAGAAAATTGTATCATGAATGACATGACCACAGAGATCGAAACAGATAATGCATGTGTGTAGGTACTTTACGTGCCACGTTTGCGGGATCACCCGAAATACCCCGAGTGATCCCCGCCGTGGAGTCCCGGCTAGGCTGCGAGGCTGTTGGGCGCGGAGACGCGATGAAGTCCCACAACGGGGATCTCGCGGTTCCGTACTTAACAGCGTATAGGGTATTTGCAGGGTTTTTTAGCGGATAGTATGTCGTAAGCGCTCGTTAGCCGCGCGGACTGCCTAACGGCTTCTCCGTTTCGCACCTGTAACACTTACGAGAGGCTAGGTGTGAGGTTCGTCCGTTGGTGTGCCCCTTAAGGGCGGCGCCAACCTCTATAAATAGAGGTTTTGCCTGCGTAAAAAATGGTACTTCACGTGCCAAAATGGATATCAAAGGTTATTCTTCACGCTGATTTATTTCTTCGCGTCACCGTTCTCGATACCAGGGGGCCAATCGCCTAACTGGATTGCTTTGGAAAACGCTATCGCTTACGATTTCATTTAGTTATTTCTAGCCGCCTGAAGTTTTCAAATGCCTCGCGCTCTTTTTTTTTCTTTTGCATTGGTAATAACAATGTTAAAGAAAATGAGCGTGAGGTATTTGAAAACCTTCGGCGGTTAGAAATAACAAAATGAAATCGTAAGCGATAGCGTTTTCCAAAGCAATCTGGTTAGGCGATTGGCCCACAGACGTCTATGGTAATATTAAAAAAATATCGAAGAACTTTTGTTATATTACGCTGTAAAAACGGTATAATTGAAATAAATGACCGGGGGGCAAGCTTATTTGTTTTCCTTAAACGACATTTACACTACCTAATTTTAGTGGACCCTTACCTTGGGTGATGTAACATGAGTTGTAAGGGACCCGATCTAGGGCTAATAATTGCTACTTTAGCTAGGGGATACATACAATATAATTTTACTCATTCTATCCTACCTTGTGTTTTCATTTTTTCGATAACTTTCTATTCGCTCGGTTTTCATACAATTTGAAGTACATGCGGCGTCTATTTCAATCCAGGTCTGTGGTCATCATGACCCACCAACCGGACCAAAGTTTAAACGTGCCTTCCGAAGTACGGAGAAGCCCGAGATAACCTTTGTTTTTTGTTCGTAAAATCGAAACATGAAGTCGCAGATATTTTCGATAATTTTTTTATGAATATACCATTAGAAACTACTTCCAACTTGGACTCATCGTCTGATACTGCTACAGCTCTGTTACAAAAATATGTACCTCCGTGTGGTTTATTATTTAATTTCAAGCACGTTACTTCTTTTAAAATAATTAAAGTTTTCCATTCATTAAAAATGAAAAATGCATCTGATTTATGGGGTATATCTGTCAAAGTCATAAATAATATTATACATTCTATAGCCCCTTACCTAGCTGATATTTTTAATTCATGTATAGATCAGGGAGTATTCCCTGATCTTATGAAATTCAGTAAAATCATACCTTTATTTAAGTCTGGAAATTGTAAAGATCCTAGCAACTATAGGCCAATATCTATATTACCAGCATTGAGTAAAATCTTTGAAAAAATAATGTTAGAACAATTGTTGACTCATTTTAACATTAATAAACTTTTACACAGAGCGCAGTACGGTTTCACTAAAAACCGTTCCACGACTGATGCTGGGGCCACTATGCTAAAATATATATTTAATGCTTGGGAAAAGTCGCAGAATGCTCTTGGGGTTTTCTGCGATTTATCTAAAGCGTTTGATTGCGTTAATCATCAAACTTTGTTACGGAAATTAAATCATTACGGCATAAAAGATTCCGCACAAAAATTAGTGCAATCATATTTAACAGAAAGGACACAAATAGTTGATATTAACGGTACAAAATCAGCCGGATCTCATGTGAAAATAGGCGTTCCTCAGGGTTCAATTTTAGGTCCATTTCTTTTTTTAATTTACATTAATGATTTACCTTTCTTTGTAGAAAATTTTTGTGAAATTGTTTTGTTTGCAGATGACACCTCGCTAATTTTTAACGTTGACAGGTGTAAAACAAATTATGACGATGTAAACAATGCACTTTCCAAGGTACTTCACTGGTTCTCTTCTAATAATCTTAAACTGAATGCGAGCAAAACTAAATGTGTGAAATTCACTTTGCCGAATGTAAAGCATGTTGAAATGGGGGATATAATTCTAAATGGTGAAAAACTAATTTTAGTCGATACAACCGTTTTCTTAGGCGTAACACTAGACCACAAACTTCAATGGAACCCTCACATTACAACACTAGCCGGTAAACTAAGTTCTGCTGCTTATGCAATTTATAAAATAAGACGGCTTACAGATGTCGACACTGCTAGGACAATATACTTCAGCTACTTTCACAGCATTATGTCATATGGCATTCTATTATGGGGCACGGCCGCAGACATTGAAACAGTTTTTATTCTTCAAAAACGAGCTATAAGAGCCATTTACCGCTTGGGATCTCGAACTTCTCTTAGGGATAAATTTAAAGAAATAGGTATAATGACTGTTGCCTCTCAATACATTTACAATTGTATATTGTTTGTGCGTCAGAACATAAATTTATATACGAGGCGCGATGATGTACATAATTTCAATACCAGAAATAAAGATAAACTCAAATTGCCACCATTGAGACTCCAAAAGGTTCTTGGTTCATTTGTGGGTCAAGGTGTATGTTACTATAATAAAATACCAAAAGAAATAATTAATTTACCTTTTAATAAGTTTAAAGTGTGTATAAAAACATGTCTCCTTAAGAAAGGTTACTATACTGTAAAAGATTTCATAAATGATAAGTCACCTTGGGCTTAACATAATAGACTGTCTTTTTACTTTGCTAATTTGGTTGAAAATTGTTTAATCGCCACTTCTAAATTTAAAAATAGTACCTAGTTATACTTAACTTTTGTTAATTAATAATATTAATGTGATGGAAGTTGACATCGACACATGTATTCAATTTTTGATGTCATCTTTCAATTGACGACACTGTGTGAAACAAAACAGGGAGAAAAAAATAGCCCTTGCTGAGTTTCTTGCCGGTTCTTCTCAGTACAAGGTCTCCCGCCGTAGATTTACGAACCGATGGCGTAGCGTTTGACTTTCACAAGAGCTTGTAACAGCCTAGACTGAATAAATGAGTTTGAATTTGAATTTGAATTTGAATTTGGCCACCCATCCTACCTATTGCGAAAGTGAAACTATTTAATGTAGGAAATCTAATGGAGTTTAAAAAAATAAGTTAAAAGGCTGGCTAACAAGCATAATGACCCGCCTGATAGCCATAGTAATATATGTAACTTCTAGTCACAAAGTAATGTGGCGCACTCTAGCGTAAGCATTAAAAGAAACAGTAATTACTAATACTTGCATGCGAAGCGGTGTGTTTCGCAAGCACGGCAGTAGGCGGTTTGTAGTTTGTAGTTTGTACAGAACTCGTGAGATGGCGCTGTATCATTAATTTGTATACTTTTTATTACAGGTAATTAATCAAAAATGCCGGCTGAAGCACAAGCGTAGCAAGTATGATGTTTCATATATTTATTGTAGATATATAGTAAGTACTTTTGCATATTCACATGTATTGACTTAGAGCATCATATTAGTTAATATATTAAGACTCTTGGAAGGCATGATATCTTATTTACCATATCTAGTAAACATTAAATGGGTGCTGTTTCTTAAATTATATTAGGTATATAGGTATTGGTTTAGCAGTTGCAATAACTCCCAATAAAAGGAAAGTAATTAATGTATATTCCAATAACAACTCATTTTGTATAGGTATTAGAAAAATATATTTATGCATAAAAAAGAAATGTTACTATAAACATTAAAAAGGATTACAAAATAAAAACTTAACTAAAAAAAAAGTAATTCCAAAAAGATGAGATTTCATTTTCGTTTCTTAGTTTCAGCGGATTCTTTTTCCTTTTCCAGTTCTTTGATGATTGAATTAATATCCTCCTCCCTCAACATTATGACCGGTTTGTCCTTTTTCATAACGGCTATCTGTAATATGGGTTTATTTATAACAATTATGATATACAATACATATTTGTTTCTTAGGTTTTCACGCACATCACTCATTAAATAAAACTAGTTTTTACGGGTTAATGCACGAAACTTTATTTATTTATTGACGTTTCGTAGCCTTTACGAGCTACCTTCGAAAGACTTCCTTCCTACCTTCTTTCGAAGGTAGCTCGACAAATTGAATAAAAGTTTTATTCTGACGACGAAGCCTGTAAAGGCTACGAAACGTCAATAAATAAATAAAGTTTCGTGCATTAACCCGTAAAAACTAGTTTTATTTAAACAATACAATTTTTTAAAGAGGTTTACTTTGGGCACTAAAACTTATTCGCTTGAATTGGAAAGGCCGCCAGAGGAAGCACAACGCACAACTCCGGATTAAACTTAAGGGAACAGCCGAACAACAGTTCTGCTAAATTTTTAGCATAATTATGTTTTTCTGCTAAGTGAATTATCAGACAATTAAGAGAGGAGGCGGGCAATGCTTTTTCCATACAAATGTTCTCGACTGATTCCTCCGTGATTGTTATCATTAAATAAATGATTTTCATACATAAAATTTAATTTTACTCATTCTATGCTCCTATGTCTGTTTCTTCTTTCTTTCGATAACTTTTGTTTCAAAGAAACTTGAGGTCCTCAAAAATGACAAAAATAAACAAATTATTATGACCACTAAAAACATGTCGAGTGGAGATTCAACAAGCATTGACAAAGAAAGCAGAACATAGAGGCATAGTATAACTGCTAAAACAATCTTCTGTATAACTACTTATTATTCTTTGGGTAAAATTTCTTTTACATTTATAATATAAATGGTTCTCATCGAAAATGAGATACACACATCAAAAGTGTCTAGGGATCAACATATATTTTTGCAATAACTTTTCTCCTGATTGATATTAATTAAAATTTTCTTTAAGGATTCATCAAATAAAGTGTTTTCGTTTGTCACAGTAACGATAAACCAAGTCACCTTTGCATTAATAAAGAAATTTGCCATTTTCCTAATAAAGGGATTTTTGACATTTGAACCACTAACACAAAAGTTCGAAAAAAAGACTGAAATAACAGTTTTCTCTAAAATTTTATTGGGTAACTTAAACAATTAATAATCCGTATTTCTACCGCGAACACTAACAACACAAGAACATCGGTTTGGCATACTCAAAATGAGTTCATCCAAATCACGCTGTGGAATGGCCGCCCATGTTCGTTGCAACAACAAAAAAAGGTCTTCTTGCGACTGGATACCCTCCATATTCGGCAGAGCTCTTCTCTGTAGCATATCCCATGCATGCTCAATCGGGTTCAAGTCTGGCGACTGAGCAGGCCAGGGCAGGACATTGATGTTAGCTGCGGCGAGAGTCTGTCTTACAACTCTTGCGGTGTGCGGTCGTGCATTATCATGCATTAACTGAAATAAGGGACCGATTTGCACTTGTAGAGGAACGATGACGTCTGATACAATCGTCTCAGCATAAATTTGAGCGTTGAGGTTGCCTCTGATCCAAATCAACTCAGTTCTTCCGCCGATCCAAATACCCGCCCATACCATGATGGTTCCACCACTATAAGGATGGACTTCCTGGCAGGATTTTAATCGCTGTTGGCGTCCAGGGGTTCTCCAGTGTCGTATACGTCTTGTATCCGGTCTCATACCAAAACGAGACTCATCAGAAAAGCACACGAAACGCCATTGTTCTTCTGCCCAATTTCTGTGTTCAAGAGCCCATTGATATCGAATCCTACGATTGTGCATTGCTATAGGTGGTACCCGTAGCGGTCTTCGGGAATGAAGGTTCACTTCATGCAAGCGGTTTCTGACTGTTTGGTCGCTAATTAAGTTCCCTGAAGAGTGATGAAGCCTCACGGCTAACATCATGGCGGTTATTGTTGGAGCTCTTCGAGTTAAGATTTGAATGTATCGGTCTTGTCTCCGTGTGGTGCAGCGATACCGTCCTCCATGGCGCTCAGCCACGGTACCAGTGCTTCGGTATCGTGTCCAAAGTCGACTGATAACACTCTGACTTGTATTCAGAGCTAAAGCCACAGTACGTTGCCGGGAACCAGCTTCTATCATTCCCACGGCTCTGAGCATTTCTTCCCTGCTTAAATGACGTCGCCGCTCCATAATAACGTTGGTTTTAATCAGTAGTAGGGAAACAGTAGCACTAATAATGTCTTCAATGCGTTGTATGTTTTTATAGGGAAAATATTGACAGCTGATTTTCATCTTTTACTCGAATTTGATTCACAGTTCCTGATTCAAATTATGAAATGCACCAAAAAGGATCCATATAAATTTATAAAATCATAAATTTATTACAAAGCCACATCTCAATCTCAAGAAATCCGCATAAAAATGCTTGATCCCTAGACACTTTTGATGTGTGTATATATAAAATTTATATGTATCTCATTTTCGATGAGAACCAAACCTCGAATTCTGCCATTTTTATACGCAATTTATAGCGTTAGCTGCTGTTGTCCCTATCGCACGGTGTTTGCCAATGCGCAACAGCATTTTTTTCAAATATGTACCTATTTCCATATTTTTCAAATGTCTCTCAGCTCGCGTCCGCTCATAATGTCCCCCGTGGGGCCTGCCTTACGTATGGAATTGCGAGATTGGGTCTTGCATGACCACCACGCAGGCCCAGTTAGGTTTGCCATATAGTCGGGAATCGTCTGGATACTCTCGATACTTCATGTGGTCCAGACATTCGTCAAGAACGAAATCTCCCGACAAACGAACATGAACACTTATCACTCTGAAAATTGTATACGATATGGGGCTTATGACTGTCCTTTCGACTTTCGTCGCCCATTCTATGACCGACCATTGCGAAAGTCACTTAATTTCATCGATCACAGAACCAACAAGCTTACACACATTACAAACTTATAGCACCTCATGAATTTTACACCGCAGAACACAGGAAAGGTTAGAAGGGTCTTGTTGGCGGGGCAGGCGCCACAGTTATGTGTGAGAGCAAATGCTCATAACTTAACCAAAACTTGGTTCCGATTGCGTCATTGCTCTCGGGTGTGAGCGCTGATTGGTTCGATTGTTTGATGTCGCTTCGTTTGATTGGCTATTATTTATAATTTGGAAGTGTAGTAGGGGTGGGCCGGCGCCATCGGTTTCCATACAAACGGTATATCATCACCCTTCCAACCTCTTCTTTGTTCTGTGTTTTATATTGTTTACACAAATCAGCTTACATCCAAACTCCTCCCTCTAGATTGCACCTCCATGAGCGCCCTTATGGCTAACTGCACTGCACCCTGGTCCGAGGACACCACCTCGGTCCTGTAATGTTGCTCCAAACACTCTCTCACTGACTTATCGTAACGCCCAATCGACGCCGCCTTTTGACAAATGCAAAAAGTTGGTTATCATCCAAATCTGACAAAATTGTAATGTTCTTTTTTCAATCTTATTTATTTAGAGGATTTACCTAATATAAAGGATAATGCCAGCCCCATCATATCCTAACTTAATTACAAAATTATTGTAAAACTACGAAGATTCATTGTTACAAAAATTTAAATAAGGCTTTTGATTATTTCCGACTCATGTGGAACTGCCAATACTGTTGCAAATATCCCTAGACCGAACACGTTTATATTATATTTTTGCAATAATGACATTGTCTTATTGTTATACTTACACTCTACAAGCATATGCTGAAAGTCATCGACTGTACCACAAATTTCACAATAAGGTGAATATTTGATTAACATTACAATATTTTTTGTATTGTAACGTTAATCAAAGATTAATGGAAATGGCAATCATTTCTGTCTGGAAAACTGGCGTACAATATATAATAGCATCAATGACAGGCAAGAACCAATGATCTACATACACACAATTTTTTATTGATCTCAGAAAAAAAATACGATCACTGTCTCCACTGCCTTAGTTATATTTGTTTTTTCTGGGTCATATGGTCGAACCCATCAATATAAAAAAAACGTCAAGTATAAGTCGAACTCGCGCACAAAGGTTTCCGTTACATTATAAATATATATTTATATATATTATAACTAGAAAAAATTCCACGCGGACCAGGCAGCAGACGGGACTCGAACCCGCACCCTTCGCAATCCGGGCGAATGCACTGACCAATTATGCTACCGCGGCCCTCACGGACCGCGTCGAAATTCCCTCTAGCTATTCTTAAGCTGCAAGGCAGCGCCATCTCTTCGCATTATAGGTAAACCCACAATGTCAAATGAATACTTTTACAAGTATTAAACATTTGAAAGAAGAAATAGCAATTATAGTTATAATTTTTTTTTTTTTTTTTATTATTTTTAAAGCATGTAACTGCTTGATGTTTAAATCTAAAGAAAATATAACTAGAAAAAATTCCACGCGGACCAGGCAGCAGACGGGACTCGAACCCGCACCCTTCGCAATCCGGGCGAATGCACTGACCAATTATGCTACCGCGGCCCTCACGGACCGCGTCGAAATTCCCTCTAGCTATTCTTAAGCTGCAAGGCAGCGCCATCTCTTCGCATTATAGGTAAACCCACAATGTGAAATGAATACTTTTACAAGTATTAAACATTTGAAAGAAGAAATAGCAATTATAGTTATAATTTTTTTTTTTTTTTTTTTTTTTTTTATTATTTTTAAAGCATGTAACTGCTTGATGTTTAAATCTAAAGAAAATATAACTAGAAAAAATTCCACGCGGACCAGGCAGCAGACGGGACTCGAACCCGCACCCTTCGCAATCCGGGCGAATGCACTGACCAATTATGCTACCGCGGCCCTCACGGACCGCGTCGAAATTCCCTCTAGCTATTCTTAAGCTGCAAGGCAGCGCCATCTCTTCGCATTATAGGTAAACCCACAATGTCAAATGAATACTTTTACAAGTATTAAACATTTGAAAGAAGAAATAGCAATTATAGTTATAATTTTTTTTTTTTTTTTTTTTTTATTATTTTTAAAGCATGTAACTGCTTGATGTTTAAATCTAAAGAAAATATAACTAGAAAAAATTCCACGCGGACCAGGCAGCAGACGGGACTCGAACCCGCACCCTTCGCAATCCGGGCGAATGCACTGACCAATTATGCTACCGCGGCCCTCACGGACCGCGTCGAAATTCCCTCTAGCTATTCTTAAGCTGCAAGGCAGCGCCATCTCTTCGCATTATAGGTAAACCCACAATGTCAAATGAATACTTTTACAAGTATTAAACATTTGAAAGAAGAAATAGCAATTATAGTAAAAATAATATGCACTGACCAATTATTATATATTATAATAATTGGTCAGTGCATTCGCCCGGATTGCGAAGGGTGCGGGTTCGAGTCCCGTCTGCTGCCTGGTCCGCGTGGAATTTTTTTCTAGTTATATTTTCTTTAGATTTAAACATCAAGCAGTTACATGCTTTAAAAATAATAAAAAAAAAAAAAAAAAAATTATAATTATATATATTATCTTGTATCTATAGCTATACTTTAATTATAATAAATAATTTGAGGAATTATTTTTGCACTACCTTCTTAAGATCTTTGCTACAATGCTCCGGTTGACTGGTAGAGAATGCCTAATAGCAATCAGTCCGCCACTTGTACACTTATTTGTGCAATAAAGTTTAAATAAATATCGTGCAAAATACAGCATAAAAAAACACGTTGTATTAGAGCTATCCGTAAATTTTATTCTGCTTTTTCGAATTGCTAAAGAAGAGCGAAAAAATTTGTGGCGATGTATTAAAAGTTTCTCTTTAAAAATGAAGATCAAAGTTCACCTTCCACTCGTAATATATCCCCGAGGGTTCCGTCTGGAACAAGTGTGGGGTGCCGTCCTCATCGAAGCCGGCCACGAGGCACGATATGCCGAAGGGTCTGCGTCCATTGCTCTGCGTGTACCTCTGCTTCAACTCGGCGATGTATCGGGATATGTATTCTACGGTCACTGGGTCTTCGACGGTGAGACGGTGCGACTGGCACTCTATTTGAGCCCTTTGACAGATATGACAAGGTGGGGATGGTTTGTGTGGTGGTTTATAACTGCTGCGCCAGCTATCTACGTGTCTGGACTTTACCACCACTTAAAATCAGGTGGGGTAGATTCATTTGCAAACCAACCAAGCTATAATAAAAATAAAGAAATATTGGATAGCATTACATAATAGACGTTCATTACATATGAGGAGGTCGATGGCGCATGTGGTTAGTGCGTACTGCGTTCGGTCTGTGATCGTGATTTAGAATAGGTGATTAAGAATTTTACTAGCTACCTCGAGCTGCTCCGTGCTTTGTAATACATTTTAAGCGGTTGGTTGATTGGTTTGTTTAGATATTACATTAAACTATAGAAAAAGAGCAAATGTAAACAAAAGCAGAGAATGTGTGCAAAAATAACACATAGATAAGGAATATCTAAGCCGGGTACAATACATAACAGGATTAAGATTATCTAATACGGAGACTGATTCAGTATTCTTTAATATGATTATCATAAAAACAGCGATAACTCCAGTTTTGTCTACCTCAACAACAGCTTAGGAATAATTCTAAATAACACTGCCATAAGATTATGTACCTACATATGATGATTTACAAAAATACAGAATTAAAACTACACACGCATTTTATTAGCTTCAAACTGGTAAGGCTGACGAAACATTTCTCTGTCGCGTTGTATTTTTACAACTGATCTCTACTCATACTTAACAGGCAGGGTCCTGATTGGACATCTTAATTTTATTATAATATTTTTTTGTTCATGAGTTACGTTTTTTGTATTTTTTTATTGTTTTTATTTATAAGTGTTGTATAAGATGGTCAATACAGAATCTTCATTTCAGAAAATGGTAAAGAAAATATTTTTCTTGACCTTACATAAAAAAGTCTGTCAACCACACAGAACAAAATCTGTGGTCAGCCAGTAGTGAGGTCTAAATGAGCTTTGATAATATGAACGTACCTGGATATCAGGACCCTCGCATCAGCCCTCAGACCAGCAAAAACCAACATCACGTGCTCATCCAACGCTACGATCTTCTTTTCTGTTCTTCCATCTTGCAGTTTCTCCACAGCTCTTCTTTCCACACCTAGTACTATAACGCTAGGTCCTCGCACCTAAACATTAAAGTTGCTCTCGCTAATCATTTTTCATTTCATTTCGGTGACTGCTGTATATAGATCGGCATCAAAAGTCTGTCATTTGCAACAATTTATTCAGACTTTTAAACTTTCCTGTTGCATTACAAATATGATATTAAAAAAATTCATAGCTGGGTCCCGTGACCATGGCTGGTGTAATCTGGTCAAAATATGAAAACCGTATAGGAGCGCCCGACTGGGAAAGCAACCTCCTAAAAAACCTTACAGAAGACCTGGGTGAAAGAACACTACCTTTTGTTGGTGTTGTGTTTCTGCTGGTTCAGGCCGGCAAAGTGAGGAGCATCATCTATCTTCGCGGCTGGAGTACACGTAGGGGGGTGGGGTAATTTGTTGCGCCTCGTATTAAATAAAATGTCAGGGTAAAGGTCATACAGGGTATAGAAATTTTGTTGAATATTATTTTTATATTTGGTCATCATACCACCAGAGGTAATAATTAAATAAAATAATAATAGCATAGCATTTAATTTTTATAATAACAGATCTTAGCAGCAGTTAAATTTAATTTCATTTAAATTTAACTGTACCGTCAAGGAAACAGCCAAACCAAAGGGTACACACGAAAATAAGCGATTAATACTTATTTATTTTCACGTGGCCGGTATATGGCTAAACGCGACAGAGCTGTGACCCCCTATATGCGAGTACTCAATATACAGTTTTTTAAAGTAAATACTGATATCTATAAGTTGGGGAGATATCAGTACTATAGAAATACTGATGTCTCCCCCAGGGGGGCTATCAGGGGAGATAACAGACCGACATCATGGTATGGTGGATTGTAGTACCTAGTACTTTATCCATATCCTGACCTGTCTGCCTTCCATATGCTAAAATGCTAAACCATCTAACTAATCTGACTCCATTAAGAGTTCTTTGGTAATTCTTCGGAGAATAACCACCGGAACCCACAAAAAAGAACCTGCCTGCCTACCTTGTGAAGTGTTAGAGCGCTTTTAACGAGACGATTTTCTGCTGGTTCTAGACACGGTTTTAAACCGTGTCTACGTCCGGTAGTCAGGTAAGTATGGAACACTATGGAGGTTTACCCCGACTGCAGCTGATCCTTTTCTGACTGCCTCCTGGGCGTATTGCACTTGCAGGAGCTGTCCATCTGGAGAAAACACTGTTATAGCTCTGTCGTAATTTGACATTGTACAATTTGAGTAACTATGTAAAATAAGCAGGAATATTGCGGTTTTCCGTTATCTCTTAGATTAATGATATTCAGTGGGTTCAATTTAATTCAATTTTTGTTGATTATGGCAGATTATGGGTAATTTTAATGTATTGTTTAGAGTCTGACATATAAGGTGACATCTAGCATTTTGACAGCACAGAACATCTCTTTCTTCTGGGCAGAGCATACACCATACACCATAAACCACACCTTCAGCTCCGTAGAACTTTGGTGGTTTTCCAATTACAGAGCATAATGCGACTCAGTGGCGCACAATGCCGAATTATGCTGATGCTTAATTGGAACGTGAATTAGTTTTCAAATGCAGCAGCAGAGTGCGCTAAGTTCAGTGTTGAAAAAAAAGTCAATGTTTGTACTTTCATCCTTATTTATATTTAATTTTCTAACACAGTTTGAATTAACTTTGATTATTTAAAAAAAACTGTCATGAAACGAAAGTTTTAATAATTTTTCAACAATAAATAATATTACTAACGATAACATATAAATAAAACATTTCGATCAATGCCAACTTAAAGAAAAAATGGTTGCCTGTAAAGTCGGTTTTACGGGCGAAGATTTTACGTGACAACGTCTTTTTCTCGGTAGAATATTTATTGATATGAATATAATTAAATTGCACAATAGGAACAAGGAATTGAATGAAAATAAGAATTGCACAAATTTTAACTATAGAAATATATTTTGTTTACTAAAACATTGTACATGTAAACTTAAACTTAACACGAGAGACTCATCGTAACGTTACCGAGCGTTACACTTTTTCATAAGTGACTCCCAGCCGCAACCTAATTTAAGACGTTGTCACGTCAAAAAATGGTTGCCTGTAAAGTCGGTTTTACGGGCGAAGATTTTACGTGACAACGTCTTTTTCTCGGTAGAATATTTATTGATATGAATATAATTAAATTGCACAATAGGAACAAGGAATTGAATGAAAATAAGAATTGCACAAATTTTAACTATAGAAATATATTTTGTTTACTAAAACATTGTACATGTAAACTTAAACTTAACACGAGAGACTCATCGTAACGTTACCGAGCGTTACACTTTTTCATAAGTGACTCCCAGCCGCAACCTAATTTAAGACGTTGTCACGTCAAAAACACTTGTTAATTTTCTGTCTCTGAGTTGGTACGATTGCACCTATCACACGAAAGCATTACTTTTGAGAGTGCTCGATTGTGCGAACCGTTGCTGTAGTTGTCACACTCAACGTTAAGCATTATGCCGCATAATGCGCTATAATACTGTAATTGGAAAGCTACCTTTATGTTCAGCTCAATTTCAGCTCTTCATAAAAGCATGGACGATGTCTTAAACATGCATAACAAGTTTAGCATAGACAACAAAAATATTGTTTTAAGGGGCTTTGACTGTAATATTACGATGCAGTACAGATTCCAGCATTGCAGTACGGATTGTTCTTTCCTTTTCTCATGTGTTTACAGTGTTACCTGTAATGATATCTGTAACATGTTATTACAACTTGTAACATCAATGCGCATTTACTTTTTAGTAATACATGCGTAATGTAATGCTCAGAATCGAATCTAAAATGTTACGTTACAGGCAAATGCTCCCGGTGAAATAGCACCATTGGATCTGGTAGATCTAGATCACACGGGTCTGTCTGTATCCATATACTAAATATAAAATATTTCTATTCCTCCTTTCCAATTTATTTTCATAAATTTTGGCATAGTAGTAGAATAAACTGAAAGAATTAAAGTGAAAGGCTGAAATAAAGCTTAGCTTGTGTAGTTAAATCCTGTTGTCTATTGATAAATTGTTTGAATTATATCCCTAAGATTTTGCTAGGTTTGATATTACAACGGTTCATACACAGATGCGGCAACGCTAGTTCAAGATAAATTATTAATTAGTTCACATATCTGAAGCCTGTGTATGTTACACAACACGGGCGCTGTGTACCTTTTAAATACCAGTTGCTTACCAGTTACATTCCTGAGCAGGGATCATTAATAGAACTAATTATTGGAATGGTATATGAATGTGCTATGCACGAGTTTTTGTTTGATAAACCGCACATATACCTAGTAACGAGGACCACAAGATTATTACTGTGGAATGAAACCATTTGGGGCGACCGAGGAATATAAAGATAGGCAGGCAAGGCAAACTTAGAATTTTGGTAAAACAGAAAACTCCCAAGCGTGTTTTATTGTATTGGCAATAAATTCGTAGTTCTTTAAGGACCGGTAGGTATGTTTACGGTTTTCGCAATTTGTCCTTTAACTGCGCTATAAGACGTTGCTTCGTACCAAATTTCAAGATTCTGGGGATGTGCCGCCCCTCCCTTCCTCTTCCCCCCTGGCGACGCCCTTGTGTTGAACCCAGGAGCATTTCATATATTTTCCAGCTTGGTTAGGCAAGCGGAGGAAGCTACACTGGCACGCCTAAGTAGCCCTCCGCACCGGAGGGGGGGCGTTACGGTGGGCACTAGGTCGCGTACTCAGCCCCCACGCGCGGGCCATCCTGCGCACGTCTGCAGGGTCCCCGCAATGCCCCGGGAGACCCCTGCCGTGGAGCTCCGGCTAGGCCGGGAGGCTGTGGGTGCGGAGACGAGGCAGAATCCCTATACGGAGATCCCGCGGTTTCGCACTTAGCAGCTTAGAGGTTGGTTAGGTAAGCAAGTCAAGTGATTGGACAAAGACCGTTTGCTTTACATATGGCTACATTCTTTATAATTTAAGCCCCCTCTTGGCGACGCCCTTGTGGTGAACCCAGAAGTAGTTCATGTATTCTCCAGGTTGCCTAACCGCAAGCAAGTCAAGTGAGTGGACTAAGAGTGGTTGCTTTACATTTTTCTGCATTCTTTGTAAATTTTAAGCCTGCCTTTGGCGACGCCCTTGTGTTGAACCCGGCAGCATTTCATGTATTCTCCGGGCATTAGGTACTTCCAAATCTAGCTAGCAGCACAAACTTAGACGTTTGGTAACGTGCCAATTAGGAAATACGAGCTTAATTTTAGATGCGTGTACTTACAATGTACCGGGCAGTTATGTCGCTAATACTTGCTTTGATGTGGACGGAGTGAATGGACTCTTCGCTATAAAACAGGTGTTGCAAAACATTATAAATCGATTGCAAGATTATCTATTGTATTTAATGTACACCTTACGGCTTTAAAACCTCTATAAAAGATTCAAAATCAGCTTTTTACAAACATTAAAACATCTAATGTTCTAATAACCATAATATCTTTCAAACTGATAATGTTATGTTGTATTTAATTGTTTATTAAAACTCCTTCGCTTTTTCGACCCCTTCCGTGCAAAGAGTTTGCTCATCAGACAGGCACATTCCTACGGCTCGATGGTACAGATACCCATCTCAAAAAAAAAAACGAGCGAGCCTTACAGTAGTCGCGAATAATGTGTAACATTTGAAACCTCACCTTATATTAAATTTTTTTATCAGTAAAAAAAGAAATAAAACCTACTACAAAGGGAATAAGCCATTTGAACATTATGTTCTAAAATCAAATCAAATAGGGCGCGCTTTCGCGACTTCCTGTAACACACTTCCGTCCCACTTCACGAAATCACTCCCACAAATTGCAGGAAAGCGAGAGAAAAGATGTTACACATAAAAAAAAAACACATTATCATTCATGTTTCACTTTTCATGAATTTTAAGTTTCTTATACACCCCATGGTTTCAGAATCTTTGAAAGCCGATTCATATAATGGGTGTAGATAAAGTATTGTATGCAACTGTTTATAATTAGGTATAAAAACAATTACGTAAAAACCCAAATTCGTTTAGATACCCCTTATCATGCAAGAGTTTCATAAATAACTTTAAAAGGGTTATTTATAAGTTGCATACTTGCATTGACAAGGTGGCTTAAGCTAGTTTAGAAAGCTAAAATAATTACAGCTCCAGTTACTTGTGCGGATATCAAGTAAAGTGTAAGCAATAAATAAATAAAATGAAATCACTTGTTATAAGTGTCGCAATAATGTGCAAATGGGACAGTTTAGGTGTAGTTTTTTTTTGTGTGTGTATGCTGTTGGTCGCAGATGACCTTTACAGCGTCACCGGGTTTTGGGACGGCGAGATCCTAAGGGGACCTCAAGCCGAGAATTGACGAGTGCCTCTAGAGATATTCCAGGCGGATGGCGTCTCCCCACGGGGGGAGTCTCCTCTCTGTCTTGAGCCTCTAGACCACTCGAACCTGAGGGGGTCGGCTCAACTAGAGGGCGTCTCTGAGACTCGGACCTCGGCTCTAGTTAGCCGTTGTCGTGGGTTAGGTTTAGATAATTAGGAGATTAAAACGTATATAAAGTCATAGTAAACATTTTAGCATAGAAGGTAATCAAACGACACTAAGTTACAAACCACCTATAAATGCTAATATTCCTTAGTTACTTGTTTATTGTGCATCAGATGTTATAGTTATAATTATACTACTAGCTATGCCCCGCGGTGTTACCCGCGGTTTATTAGGGATATTTTTCCGCAGTAAAACGTAGCCTATGTGTTAATCCAGGGTGTCAGCTAACTCCATACCAAATTTTATTAAAATCACTCCAACCATTTAGAAGTAACAAACATACACACTCGCAAACTTTCGCCTTTATAATATTAGTATGATAAATATACTTTATATAATTAAATTTTTAAACCAGTCACGATTAGATGATGAAGAAGATTTGCTATTATTACGTGTTAAAGGAGGAGCTCGATACATCCTACCGGCTGCGCCATGTAACGTGTATTGAAACGACGGTTGTAGGATGCAGACTCTCTTTATTTCTCATGGTAACCGTTGATCAGTTTTTACAACATACCTCCAATTAATAACTATAACATTACAGGCGCAAGTGGTTAGCGCGTTCGGCTGCGATCGTTGAAGCTAAGCAACTTTCGCAGTGGTCGGTCATTGGATGGGTGACCAAAAATTACTATCTCGAGCTCCTCCGTGCTTCGGAAGGCACGTTAAGCCGTTGGTCCCGGCTGCATCTGCAGTCGTTAGCACCCACCAATCCGCACTGGGTCCGCGTGGTGGGTCATGGCCCAATCTCCCTATTCTTTCCAAAGGGAGGCCTGTGCCCCAGCAGTGGGAACGTTAAAAGGCTGATGATGATGATGACGTGT